AGCCAATGCGGACGAAATCCCTACCGACTTCCACATACCTCAGTTCTTTGACATATCCCGGCTATACTTTAGCTGGACGTCCCGTGTCCGTGTTAGCGATGATCGTTTGTTTCCTATTCCTGTGTTGTGCGCTATTTTTAAAGTTCCATAATCAATCAGACTAATTTCCCTTTGAGGGACAAAAACAGGAGTAAGGCGTTCTCAGGCAGACCCACCTTTGCAGTCGCCTCATTCTGCTTGGGTGTCCAGGACAGTGCATCCAGGTCTGGGGTGTTCATATCTACGTACCGTAGACAGGTTTTTAGGCCGACACTTTCCGCGGGGGTCGAGGAACCACCCACCTGGGGAGTTGAGGGCATGGAGATTGCTGGTGAAACGATTGCAACCGAGGCGGGGGTGCTACACCGTGCAGACCTAACTGTAGTCAGTTCGGACTGCAGATGACGTAGGCGTTCCCTCTGCTCAGCACAACGCGCCTCCGCAGTTAGCACTCTTTTTGTGGCCGCTGCCTGCATGCGACGTAGGCGCTGCGCTTCGGTGCGATACTGCTGAATCTTAGCACGTGCCGATGTGAGCTCCGAACGCAGAACGGCAGCCCAGCGGCAGACTGTGCGGAGATCACCCGAAGGAGAGCCACAGGTGGCGGCGGTGTCGGACGCAGTGGCCTTAGAGTCGCCCGTGTACCTGCGAAGGAGGTCATTAGCTGCCTCTTCAGAAGCTGCGGCGCAAAATAAGGTGAAGGTCGGCAGGTAAGGAAAAGAAGAGGGACAACGCACACTAAAACACTCGTCTACCAAGGCACTACGCCATCAACACCTGACAGTTCCACTCTGACGATGTCCACAGCGTGCTTCAGCAAACTGAAAGCGAACGCGTGACATATGCGTGGATGAGTTTTGAGTGGGAGTGTAGATTTGCGTTGCATTTATCGCACCAAGTCAAGAGAGCCGGCTGCGAGAGAGGGTGCAGGCGGCTGGCGCGGCCTGCCGGAGGCGCCTTCAAGCATGCCGCCACAGCTGTCTCTGCACTTACGGGATAAGACTGCTATATAGCTTGTAGTAAGGAGTCATTACAGCTTGACCCTCGGTCCGTCAGTCGGCCACTTCGCTCAAACAGCACTGAACGGACCACGAGGTCTGAGTTAACCCGTTAGTTGGCGACCCTCCAAGCCACGGCTCTTATTGTATCCTGATAGTTTCAAGCGCGTCTGATGGGTTGTAGTGGAGAAAGCGCGATGAGCCCTCGACCTTAGTGTTTCTCCTAGCCCCAGCATCAGGCCACTGTCCGAGGCGGCCAGTTGTCTAATGTGGGTTGGACGTAGTGGCTGACAGGCACGACGAACGAGGGCTGAAAAAACATCCCCTTAGAAGTTTAGTCGTGCTAAGCCTGAGTAATACCAATTAGAGAATAGATGCGGCCGTCAACCTGGCCCCAAATCATCTACAGTCCTTAACCGATATCCTCAACTATTAGTCTAACTTCTGAAATTCGTTTTCGTTTATAAATGTTTAATAAGGTGTGGTTTTAATACTGACTATCGTACGGCATAACCCTTTAGATGTCAGAAGTGCCAGGAGGTTGGTTCTTGAATGCACGTCATTCGTCCGCCTGTAGAGACCACACTCGGTAAAAAACGGCTACTGGTTTAGTTTGCATTTTCTCCCTTTTAATATCCTTAGTAATTCAATTA